CAGAATAGGGAGGCTGTTATAGTTCAAAAGATTGGACTTGCTCAAAAGAGGCAGAATAGCTATTTCGGGATACTTCCGGGAGCCCAAAATAGCTCCACTGTGTAGATGTAGCTCTTGCTTGAGAGTTTGCCACAGCCATGCATCCACAGTTTGTGATGTATAGTCTTTCTTCTGGGCCACTCCAGGTTCTCTGATTCAGGTGCCCTTTTCCATTCCAGTGGAGTTGTCATCCTACCCTCTGCTGGTAGCATAGCTAAGGTATAAACTCCCTCAGCTGCAAGTTCTAGCTAGGAGATGTGAAAGAACTGATCTTCTTCCTGAACCATACACTGCTTCATGCCTCCCTAGAACCTCTGGATCTGCTGGCAGTGCTCCTCTTAATGCAACCTAATATGCCATTAGCCTTCTTGGCTACAAGGGCACACTGTTAACTCATATCCAGCTTCTCATCCACTGTAACCCCCAGGTCCTTTTCTGCAGAACTACTACTTAACTGGTTGGTCTCCAGCTTGTAACCATGGTTGGGATTCTTCCGTTCCAAGTGCAGGTTAAACCCATTCCAGTGCTTCACCACCCTCCTAGGGAAATAATTTTTCCTAATAGCCAACCTAGACCTCCCCCACTACAATTTGAAACCGTTGCTTCTTGCTCTGTCACCAGTCACCACTGAGAACAGCCTCTCTCCATCCTCTGTGGAACTCCCCTTCCGGCACTTGAAGGCAACTATCAACCCCCTCCCCCCCACACACACACCACCCTTCTCTTCTGTAGACTAAATAAGCCCAAATCCCTCAGCCAGTGCTCATAAGCAGGGCTCAACAAATAACACAATCTACTTGCCCGTGGCGAGTAGACTGCAACCTGGAAGATTGCGCACATCACCGGACAGCACAGCTGGCAAGCGGGGCCTGCCGCAGTTCGGCGAGCCCTGCTCATAAGTCATGTGCTCCAGCCCCCTAATTGTTTTTGTTGCCTTCTGCTGGACTCTCTCCAATGAGTCCATTTCCTTTCTGTAATGTGGGAACCTAGAATTGCAGGCAGTACTCCAGTTCTGGCCTCACCAGTGCCAAATAAAGGGGAATAATCACTTCCCTAGATCTGCGGGCAGTGCTCAAGAATTGTAAGCACCTATTTCTCTCCCCCATCATGCCACCCCTCTTTTGCATACAGAAGTTAAACTGATTAAGGTGGATTTCGTAGCTAAACAGTGGCTATGCTGTGTCAGATCAAAGGTTCATCTAGTCCAACATCCAGCCTTTTTTGCAGAGGCCATCAGTGCCAGTTGTCCCAAAGGGAATCAACAGAACAAGTCATCATCAGTGGGGCAAAGGCACAGTGACTTCTGGAAAAGGGGGGGGAGAGGCCTGGCTCAGTGTTCCCAGAAGGAGAGAGGCCTCAGACAGAAGGGCAGGGCTGGGGCAATCATGCCCCAGCGCTGCCCAGAGTGTGTGTATGCGCCCCTCCAGCCAGCACAGTATGGTGCTCTGGCAGTGATTTAAAGGGCTGTATGGTGCTCTGGCTGCTGCCACTGGCACAGTAGCAGTGGCTGGGAGTCCCGGGCTTTTTCAGATCACCAGACCCAAGGGCAACTGTCTCCATCCCCTGTCGCTCATTCTCAGTTTGTGGCAAATGTTGACAGATGTGCATGATGCTGTTGCCATTTATGGGCCATATAGAGAGCTCTAACAGGAGCCCACTTCTCTCCAGCAATACAGCCACCATATGCCCGCAGATGTTTGGTTCCATGTTTCTGGATCATCTCCTCAGATGACATACATAAGAGCAGCTTCACCAGAGTTAATGGGGCTGTGCTGATTTTCACCAATTGAGGTTCTGAGACCAGTAAATCAGATTTGTACATAAAAGAAAAAGTTTGAAACCAGTTTCAGTTGTTTGAAGGGAAAAATGAATATTTGGATGGAGATTATGTTTAAGAATAGCCGTATGGGGTGAGCCAAAAAGAGAGCAAAAATCTGAACCACCAAAAAGGCACAAAACGTTAAAGCTGAAAAGTGCTCGTATTCTGGGTTTTTTAAGCGAATGATAGAAGCTGAGTCATTGACAGAAATGAGCTTCCTAGCTGAAGTGACAGCTGCTGAAGAAGGCAAAGGAAAATAGATGAAGGGAGAAAATAAAATGAAAGCAACTGGCATTTCTCTGTAAAAGAGCATCATTGTTCAAATATATCTGCAGGACAGACAGGATTAAGATAGAAATTACAGTTTGCCCTTAGTTACCACTTTATATCATGAAACTAGTCTGTTCCATCATGGTCCCTTATTACCACTGAACTGCTTTGTGACCTTAGGCTGAGGCAAGACATTTTTTTTTCTGTGCCTGAGTTTGGGAGTAAAATTAGTATAATGATACTTAAATTCCTTTGTAAAGTATGTTAAGAACTACAGGTGCAATATATGAGTAGGATTGCAATAGAACGTAAACTGAAAGTGTGTATTAACTGTGACAAAGCTACTCAGATATGGATGGAGATCAGTGAGGTTGCCTAGATGTAACTGAAAAGAAAATCTGTCTTTTGAGGCTATGGACCTGTTAATCAATTAGTTTAGATATTTTTTAATGAGAACTATAATTGAACAAATAAGGTTAACTCCTTTTATAGGCTCTATTAAGGTTCCTTTAATTGCTGTGTAAAAGAGGTGAATCTTTGCCCATTATCTAATCAGGTTATATTTTTAAAGTATTTTGAAGATGAAAATTACTATTTACTCTGAGGGCTAGAATATGTAATCTTCACTCCTAAAAAACATCTGCTCATGTGAGTACACCTCATGACATCAACTGAACTGTTCACACAAGTGCTTACCAGTTTGGGCAGTTTGAACAGCCTTCACCCCAACAAAACTATGTAAAAAGAACATGGTTAAGATTGTAATTCAAGCACTCAGAGAGTTAGAAAATGCCAGAATTAAGGTTGCCTGTGAAGCTTTAAATACTCCCCACCCTTGTATATATGCATTTCCCACAGGAACCTGGCTTCATTCAGTGCCCTGGAACCTCATCCCTGTTATTTCACCTACCCAGTCCCAGTTTCTGTTTCTCAGGCTTCTCCCAGTTCTAGCCTCCATGCCTGGCCAGTCCTCTACACTATGGCTGTGTCTAGACTGGCAAGATTTTGCGCAAAAGCAGCTGCTTGAATTTGCGCAAGAGCACTGATTTTATAATGTACAAAATCAATGCTTCTTGCGCAAATACTTTCGTGCTCCCACTTGGAAAAAAGCCCTCTTGCTCAAGAATACTTGCACAAGAGATCCAGTGTAGACAGGGAAGAACTGTTTTGTGCAAAAAAGCCCCGATGGCAAAATGGCGATCGGGGCTTTCTTGCGCAAAATCGCATCTAGACTGGTCACGAATGCTTTTGTGCAAAAGCACTTTTTGCGCAAAAGCATCTGTGCCAATCTAGACGCGCTTTTGCAGAAATACTTTTAACAGAAAAACTTGTCCGTTAAAAGTATTTCCACAAAATCATGCCAGTCTAGACGCAGGAATGAGGTTACTTCACTCAAAGTTAGCTGTGTTAGGTCAATTTTATAATGAATATTTCTACACCACCAACCCCTTTTCATTAAGCTTAATGGCTTTTCAAACTGACTGCTGTATTCCACCTTGACAAGAGGAGTAGCACTAAGTTTGAGCTTCCAGGGTCAAACATGGGGTTCAGTAGATATAGCACCGTTCAATTAGATGGTCTTGGCCTCAGGGCGGTGTCCAACAGTGCCCCAATGTGACCACTCGAGACAGCACTTTCAACTCTGCTGCACTCCCAGGTACACAGGAAAAACCCCAGGAACTTCTGAATTTCATTTGCTGTTTGGTCAGTGTGGCAAGCCTAAGAGCACACCTGACCATGATTGCCAAGGGTTACAAATGAGCTCCTCCTTGAAGGATTAAACACTGCCTTCTATCGAGGAAGTCTTCATCCTCTCTGATCGAGCGTAGGGTCGACACTTGGGCCTCCAGTCCTCTAATTTTTTCTTCCAAAATGTCGACCAGCTTGCACTTCCTGCAGATGAAATCTGTTCTTTCTTCTTGGAGGAAGACAAACATGGCACACGCTGTGCAGGTAACAGCAGCAGACCCATCACCATCCATCGCTGCTGTCCTGGAGAAGGGATTTAAAAAGAAAGGCAAGAGAACCTCACGCCCTTCCCTCTCCCCTTCCGCGTTCATGTTCCCATGTGGAATGCGTGTCTAATGTCCTGCTTTGTTCTCCCTGACCCATGTCTCTAGCTCCACCCTCCGTGGTGCGGTAGTGTGGCCCACTGGCTGGAGCCAGTAAGCTTGCCCCAGTTCTCAGGGCAGTGCGTCTCGTTGCTTAGGAAGGGAATTGCTTCCTCTGGTAGGGCAATAGGCCACCCCTCGCCACTGGACTCTAGCCTAGAGCCCTGAACTAATCAGTAGATCTTTGTTTTTCATTGTAATGGCCGGGCTATGCAAACCATAACCAGTGGGTATAATTCTGCCAGGAGCTTCAACCTCCTGGCCATGTCTATTGAAACCAGTGGAATAGGTGGGGTAGGGCTCCAGATGAGGATATGACTAATGGGAGTGATGCTATATTAGGCATTCTGGTCAGCTGTTGTCACTGAGTGGGATAAAGTGACCCAGGGCACCTCTAAAACCTTCTTCCATAGCAGGAGAGGACCAACTGATGGCTCCCCCAGGAGCTGTAAGCACTGGAAGGAGAGAGGCGCATGCCTACCACCATCCTAAAGAGGGTGACCAAAGATGGTTCAGTGAGGGTTTCTCACAAATAGTCAGGGGCAATGTGCAGCCAGGCAAAGAGCTTCAGAAAGATTATCAAAACTTTTGATACAACCTCAAAAAAAGTATTTTGTTTAAGCCTTTTATATGCTAACTCAAAGCAAGGTCCGGATGGAACTAATATACAAGTGGTGAATCCAGGCCCAGACTTTTGCTAGCTGCATTGGAATTAGCGGTTGTTAACCACCTTTGTTTTAATTCAGTAGGGAATGTCTTCACTCGCCATGTCAGTGATCGACGCTCTGGCGTTTGATTTAGCAGGTCTAGTATGGACCTGTAAATGAATGCAGAGGGCAGCTCTGGCTGGCGCCTATACTCCTTGGCAGTTGAGAGGAGTAAGGGATGCTGACCGAAGTGTTTACTCCTGTCGGCCTTCTGCAGTGGGAACGACGCCAAGCTCAGCTTAAGGTAAATGTACTCCAGGTACGTATTCAACACAGCTGGAGTTTGTACCTTAAGACGACCTTCCAGGTCTAGTGTAGACCTGGCCTGAGAATAAACTTTGTTCTGGACCACTCTTGAAAGTGTAATAAACCATTTAATCTTCCCTACAAAGGCCGTACTGCAAGAACAATATGATAAAACCAAGTAACTTCAATCTATGACAAAACATTTCTCCTGGTATACTGAAACACCATTTTCTCTGCTCCGAAAAGCTATGTCTACACAGAAGCGTTATTTCAGAATACCGTCAGTTACTCCATTATTTATTTTGAAATAATGTTGAGCTGGAGGACTTCTTATTCCAACTCCTGTAACCCTAATTTCACGAGGAGTAAGGGAAGTCAAAGAAACTATGTAGACAGTGCCAAAAGTCGAAATAAGCGATTTCGACTTAAGATATGCAATCGATGTAGCTCAAGTTGCGTAGCTTATTCTGACATTAGCCCTGCTGTGTAGACGTAGTCAAACAGATGCCTGCTTTCAGTGCTGACAGTACCACAGGGATAAAAAGCCCTGTGCTTTGTCATCAAGAAAAACATGATAGTAAAATTCATTCAGCTTAAATTATGGAGTAACAAACAGGGGACAGTTTAATACAATTGCTCTTTTACAACACTGTCTATTCCCAGGCTTTTGGTAATGAATGTCCCAGAGAATTAAGGATGAGATTTAGTGCTGTGCTGCTAAGAAGCCATAGCACAGAATTGTCAGGCGGGGAGGGAGTGGTGGGTAAATTGACTTCAAACTGCTTTTGCTCGCTCCTGTTTCCAGCATAATGTAGATTGAGGTCCTGTCTAAGAGTGCATCTCTACTGCTGTCCCAGGGTGTGGCTGGAGCTCAGGCTGATGTATCTGACACAATTGCCCATTTTGGTTGGGCATGTTCCTGGAGGTTTTATCACATGACGCAAAGGTTCATCTTTACTTCCTGGAGACTCCAGGACAGTCCTGGATGATTGGCAACCCTGGAGTCTGAGTTAGCTTTCATCTAAGGAGTGTGGGTGCCCTCTGAGTCAAGCAGTCGCAGTGAATGCTGCATTATAGGTTAGCCCCATGCGTAACTACCCCACATTCTGGATAGCTCATACAGCCCACGCTGAAGCCATGTGCACTCACAGCTTCACTGTTCTGGTACTGGAGTGAGTTACACTATACTTTGGGAATGGCTACTCAAACTGCATTCACATCCCATGATTACAGTACAACATACTCCCTATGTCTACAGCCAATCCATAGCAGTTTGTGGGCTACCGTGCGGCCCGGTATCTCCAGAGCATTTTATGCTGGTGCCCTCCTTGGCAAATTCCCCCAACACTGGGGCTTTGGAGGCGGTCCTCAGAAGACCGACTTGCAGCTGCCTTCTTCAGCTACTGGGCCAGTGAAACTCTGACTTGGACAAAGGGGCCAGACTGGTGAGGAGGATCCAACTTAGGCAGTGAACCAAAACCTCTCCGTTCATGTCTCTCTTGAATTGAATAGGAATTGTTTGTGTCATGTGGCAGCCGCAAATGGCTGATATAAGAAGCCAGGTCACACACAGGAGCCTGAGGGGGAGAGTGAAGCTGGTAACGTCTCTCTCATGTGAGAGTACCTGTCAGGGTGCACGCCCCCACCGTGCCTCAGTGCCCCCTGACTATCCTCATCTAGCCCCTCTCAGGGCAAGTTACAGTCTGTACAGGTTGCTCATCATTGGCATCGGGGTTATCTCTATTGCCCTGCTTACCTAGGCTGCATTGTGATCCGCCTCCGAACCCTGGGCCTTGCCTCCAGCCCCTAGCCAGGGGGAGTCTTGGCTGGCCCTCTCCCAGCCCTAGCTGGTTATCCCCAGCTGGTCTCCCTCCTGGGAGCTCCTGCTTCCTCTGCAGTCAGCCCTTCACTGGGCCCTTTCTAAGGGGACTGTGCGTCTCTATATAGCTGCTGGCTGGGCCCTCACTCGCCCTAACGGCTTCAGCTGGCCTCTCTCTTCCCAGCCCTGGCTCAGGGCCTGAGTCCTGGTCTTAAAGGGCCAGTGCAGGGCAGGCACCCTGTCACAGTAGCATACGAACAGCTCAGAGAAACCGTGGTAGTGCTAGGTACAGGTCAGAGCTCACTGCAGTCCTTGAATTGACTTCACTGAGTGAAGCATCGGGTTCACTATATTATTAAGTTGAAGGTCATCTGAAATACCTGACCCACCAGCCTCTTCATCAGTATTCCCACTGCCAAGCAACCTTACATTTTCCCAACCAAATGCTTCCATCATCATTATTTATGCCTATGTATCTTTGCCCAGTGTGTCTGACTGTGGTTATGGGCTGGAAAACAAACCATGTGTGGCTGTCAATGCCATTCTTTAAGCAGCTGTAAATATTGGATAGTATTCAGTTCTCCCCTCCCCTATCCAGGTCTATCTCTTCAATAGCAAATAGAACCGCTATAGTGCATAGTTTTCTCAAAAATTTCCATGAACATTTGCTTCTGATTATTTGTTGTTGGTGTTTCAAATTATTCTTTGGCCACCACTGTGGAAGGTCAAAAATGGAATGAAATGAAAAACTAGAAATGACTGCCTAGGAAGGAGTACTGTAGAAAAGGATCTGGGGGTTATAGTTGATCGCAAGTTAAACATGAGTCAACAATGTGACTGTTTTGAGAACTATTGAACTAGAATGATGGAGTGTTGTAAGCAACAAAAGGCTGCACAGTAGTGACACATGGCACAACAAGGAGCAATGATAAGAAGAAAGTCCAGAAAAGAGGTCTAGGTTGGATATTAGGAAAAATTATTGCACTAGGAGGGTGGTGAAATACCGGAATGGGTTACCTAGGGAGGTGGTGGAATCTCCATCCCTAGAGGTTTTTAGGTCTCGACTTGACAAAGCCTTGGCTGGGATGATTTAGTTGGGTTTGATCCTGCTTTGGGCAGGGGGCTGGACTCGATGACCTCCTGAGGTCTCTTCCAGCCCTGGGATTTTATAAGAGCAACAAAAATGGAGAAGAGAAGACTGAGGGTGGGCATGGAACAGCTTTCAAGTAACTAAATGCTTATTACAAAGCGGAGGGTGAAAATTGCTCTTCTATGAATATACGATACGAAGCGATGGGCTTAAATTGCAGTATGGCAGTTTACTTCGGACATTAGGAAAAACTTCCTAATTGTCAAACACTGGAATAAATTGTTTCTGGAAGTTGTGGAATCTCCATCACTGGAGGCGTTAAGAACAGGTTAAAGTGGTCTGGTTATTACGTAGTCCTGCCATGGTTCTGTGACTTGTGATTACGGCCATTGAAACTTGCCGTTCAAAACGTTGACCAAATTTAATCAGAACTGCCAACTTCAAGTCAAGTCAAACTGCTCTAACTGTAAGTAAATGCAGTCTGGGGGCTATCTAATATGCAAGTCAGCATTTATTGTTTCATAAGACACAGGCTCCTTTTAAATCTGCTCAGCAAAAGAGCGCCCATGAGTTTGGGAACATGGGATGGCTTGGTAGGTTTATTGCCATGTTTGATCCTGAAATCATGCTGTATTTATACCTTTCCTCTCCCCCATCTCAGCATTGGCCCCAAAGGACTTCCAGCACTGGGGATAAAGATGTTGATGGCTGAAGATGTTGGACAGCCCTTTATTTTTGCTTGGAGTGCTCTGAACTGTACTTAAGCATCAGTTATTTCAAAGGTCTAGCATTATGACTATCTGTAATAATTGCAATATTTCCATTGAAAATGACAGTGGCAGACCTGCTGTTGTTATCAACCATTTGTAGCAGAGTTAGAGGTGTGGCAGTTTGCTTGCTCGAGGCGAGAACCATTGTCACTAGATTCAGAAAAAGGCATTCGGAAGCCCACAGAGCTGCTATTGATGTTGATGCCAATTATTTAGCTTCCATCTGGCATTCGTTGCCTCCTGCTCTGAAAGGGGAAGGTCTCTGCGCTCCACAACTTGGTGTTATAGAGAATCAAGCTGTCAATGCTTTCTTTTCATAGGCTATTCATCACTTCCTACAGGTGAAGGGTTTTTTTCCTCCAGGTCCTCTTTGGAAAATTGCCTGTTTATTTTGTATTATAAAAATTGAGGAGTCAAAGTAGAAATGTTAACTTCAATGATAATCATGGAGGGGGAAAAAAAGCAATAATTGCCAACAATTGCTATGAGCACATCTAATGACAACAGCAATTTCCTGTTGTAAGCGGAGGGCAGGCAAGGCAGTGCTATCAGAGATAATGCAGGCAGGGAACTTTTGATGAATATAATACTTTTTGGTGGACTTTTGCTCTGATTGGACACAAGTATATTTATACGATTTCATCACATACCAGACTTTCATCGTTTTATCACATATTTTGGTTTGCTAATAAAAAAAAATCAGACAAAATGTGGGCAAAACAAATAGTATTTCTCCAACACACCTGTTTTGCAGTGTATGCCGAACATTTAGGGGTTGTGTCACAGGGCACAACTCACTGTCACAGCGCCTCCTGTGGGTTGCTCCAGGGAATTTGTCCTTACTCAGTTGGGCATCCCTTTCAGGTGGTGTCTCATCCCTTTCCTGAAGCTGGGTCGGTATTTGTGAGGAGTGTGGACACCAAGGTCTTTTTTAATGAGCTGCTTATATCATGTGCTTTCAACTTATGACCAATACCAATTACTGTTCTACACCTGGACATATTACCAATTAGTGTTTTGCACTCTCCGCCCTGTTCCAGCTAAGTTCTGTGAGCAGGGGCCTGCCTCTTCCTCACTGTTTAGTTTTGGTTTATGTTAGCCATGTTTTGTCTGTTGTTAGCTAGGCCTCAGGCCTCTAACCAGGCTTGTGCTGCATGGGCTTATGTTTTAGGCCTTCATCATATAGCATGAGCTTTCGTAGGTAAAATACACTTCATAGAATCCTAGGGCTGGAAGAGGTCAAATTCAGCCCTGAGCCCAAGGCAGGACCAATCCCAACCAAATCAACCTAGCCAGGGTTTTGTCAAGCCGAGACTTAAAAACTCTAGGGACGGAGATTCCACCACCTACCTAGATAACCCATTCCAGTGCTTCACCACCCTCCTAGTGAAATAGTTTTTCCTAATATCCAACCTAGCCCTCCCCCACTGTAACTTGAGACCATTGCTCCTTGTTCTGCCATCCGTCACTGCTGTGAACAGCCTTCATCAGATGAATTGGCGTGGAAATTATAGTAGATGACTTCTAGGTACTTGTCTGGCTCCATCAATCTGTTTCTTCACTTCCCCAGATTGACAGAGCCAGGCACGTATGCAGAAGCTAGAAATGGGACACATCCAGTCTGACTCAATTAGCTTCATTAACAGCAGTCCTGCAATTGACAGGTAACAAATTTTGCTCTTACATTTACAGGATGTGACAGCATCTTCTAGCCATTGGAGATGAAAGCAACATGTGCATGTTACATTTTCTGAGAGATAAGCATCACCTAATAATCCAAGATACTACTTAACTATGGACTGAACTGACCGGTTATGGGTATGTACCTTCAACCAAAGCAGCTATGCATAAATGAACCTAGACATTGTCAAACAACATAGGGAGCCTAGCTTATGTCTGCAAAATATGCTCATGCCGACAGTTATTGCATACCCAAAATAAGCATGTTTACAAAAACAATACTTATTTATGCATGGAGTTTGCGAGACTAGGCGCACATGAGTTGATATGTTACACAGACAAACACAGACAGGCGACCCTTGCCTCTGGGGGGAGGAGGTGCAGTGTGATGGTCCCCGACATCAGCATGTAAAATCTAGGGGGGCACGTGACCCCCCACATCACATCACATGCACACAGAGTTGGAACCTGAAGCTTTACATTTCTGGGCTAAAGGATAAGCCATCTGCAATTAGAGCTATGGGAGAACTTCTTTATCTTATATTGGCAGCTGGTAGCTTTCCTGTAGGCTAGGCCCCAAAGGGTAGCAGCCCTGATTCATGCACTCTGAGTCAATGTATTATGTACTTTCTTCTCCATTTGGCAGGGTTCACACTGAGCATCTAAACTCCCTGAAGCTGGTCACCAGTCAGCAAAGAAGTTTAGCTCCCTTGGTTGTTTAGAGCATTACTGTTTGGAAGCCAGGCTGGTACACAATCTGCTGCACGCCACAACATTCTACTTGGGCAAGGCTACTTCAGCTCCAAAATCACAGGCCTGCACAAGCTGAACTGAAGGAGAACTCTAGCCCATGTATTATTCCAAGCACTGTGCCAGATTAGAGAAACCCAAACACTGCTCTACCTGCACAGGTGACCAGTGGGCTACCATGATGGGTTAGAATCGCCCTTTCCATGTCGCCTCTGGGATCTAATACTCATGTAACTGAGAAAACTGGGCCTAGGACAGCTTTGCAGTGAAGGCATTTAAAACATAGGGTATGTCTACACTACCCCGCTAGTTCGAACTAGCGGGGTAGTGTAGACATACCCTTAGTTATTAGCTGAACTTGCCAAGATGAGTAACTTTTAGAACACCATAGAGCATCCTCTTTCTCCTTGAAGTTTTCTGAACCACTATCTCCTTTAATTTCTGTCCTTGCATCAGAATGTGGCTCGTGGGAGGAAGAAGGCAATTTCACAGCAGGAAACTATAAAATTCACACCTGCGTAAGTTTCTGCAGTTATCTGAGCCACATTTGTTAAAGCCTTAGGGGCGACATATTGCTCCTGCCAGCTCTGAGTCAGTTCCCGGTGGTAGGTACGGTAATTTTAATGTCAAGCGGGGTGCTATTCAACTGTTGACAGTGCCACTGCTCCAAATGAATAGTATCCCTTGAAACAAATCTTTGTTGCCCTTCCCTGTGTACATGCTACCTCTCAAATATTAGAAATTCTAGGGAAGAATTGTCATTCAACTTTATTAATAGTTTTTTCCTGCATGTTCTAATAAGCGTGCAGGAATTCAGTATGGATGGCTATTGAAAACCTGCAACACTTTTTTGGTTGTCACAGCCCCAAAAAGTTCCAGGGAAAACATTGGTTAAGTTTGACAGAGGGAAGGGATGGCTTGACAAGTCCCAAAAGTTCACAAGCTTTTGATGAAAAAAAACTTTCATTGTCTCTGACATTTTTACTGAAAAATAAAATACATTTCCCAGCAAACTTTAATCCCATGTTTGGCGAAGGATATTAATAATGAATGAACTCCATCCATTACAAGTTTGATCTTCCCTGATAGCAGGGTTTCACTGGGCCTCCCTCCGTTCTGCCCCTGCTGTGCCCACAAACCAGCCAGAGATGTTGGTGTTGGTGCAATCACCCATGCTCTTTATTTACAGTATTCTTTCCCACTGCCTTCTACCTACAAACAGCTTCTGTACTAATGCCTCAGGCTTTGCTAGCTCCTGCAGCGTTCAGAGAAGAGCTCCCACTTCCTCTAATTCTCTGGCTTCTCACTTTCCTTCTCCCCTGCCGTCTTTCCTGACAGCCTTTATGTGACCCTTGGCTAACGAGGCCAACAGCTGGTCCCCATTTGCTAATCAGGCCTGGGCTTACTTGGCTACCTCCACTTCCCCTTTTTTGATTGGCCCTGGTGGGACCGAGGTTTTAGTGAGCAAGGTGTCAATGCTCCCATTAAAATCTGTGACACAGGGTCTGGGCCTATAGCAAGAGGAGCTGATGGGCTTCTAATACAGGAGAATTGCCATGGTTTGGCTTCACGGGAGAGGGAACGAAGAAGAGGCCTCTCCACTGGGTGTGTATCAGCTGGGATGAATATGTATCAATACCAGTAATTACTTACACACTGTGCCTGCTTGTATGGTGATGTGTCTAGCTGCTGTCCGGCTAGTACAGGTATACGTAGCTATGCAGATGGCAAGGCCCCTTCTAGGTGAGTAGAGTACAGCCACGCCAGTGCCTGAGGGTACGTAATTGCCACGGCGCTCCACACGCCCATGCAGCGTGTCCTGCACCTACACTGCTCTTTTCAGGTAAAGGCTCCAGCAACGGGACACTCCCTTTTGTGAGAGCCTTTCGCTACCACGTGGTTGTGTAGCCTATACCCCGCTGCATCCGAGGCCAGACGAGAGGGTCTGTTTGGAACTGGGCTGGGTGGAACCAATTCCAGGACCGGGTTACAGGTGCGATGCAACACTTGACTGTTTAGTATCTCGATAATCTGCAAGCCGAGCTGGGAAAGAATCGCCTGTGGGGACACAGCTGTGCGCGCAAGGGTTGCAGTCCTTATTGCAATCTAAAATGCGGCTGCGGAACTCCTCCATGTCTTGCCTTGAGCTTGGGGTTGCGAAGGGGAAGGGGTCTCCATTAACTCTGGACCCTGATTATTTCCCAGCAAAAAGCGTAAGTTCTCTGACTCTGTTTCTCAAACCACTTGCTTCCCGTGACCATCTGAGTAGGCCTGTTGATTTCAGTGGGACTTCTCACATGCCTAAATGTTTGCAAGAGCGGATCCTTGGTGGGTGGGCGGGTGAATGAATTCCATCCTTGTAAATGTCTGCCGAGAGGCGTTCCCACAGCAGCCTAACGAATACACTCTGAACGGCTCAGCCCCGTTTGTCACGTCAGTATTGAGCTGGTTGCTTAAGGGAATAAAAGCGCAGCAAAAGAAGCATCTTAAATAATTTTCAGGATTTAACAAACGATCAACTATTTAGAAAGTGCAAGTGCAGCCAGAAGTGCAACCTTTTCCAGATGATACGAGCTTTTAATTAACTTAATTAATGAAATTCATATCCCAAACAGTTTATCTTGGGCCAGCAAGACAATCCATCAATTTTATCTTGAAAAACCCAATTAAATGAGTAAGAAAGTATAACTTTGAGCCCATTTCTTATGCAGAGAGACTATTCTCACTTGCTATTCATGAGTCTGTGTCCCTGTGGTTTA